TTCTCCTTGGGTGTGACTGTGTTCTAGACATAAAAAAAAAAAAATTCTTCTCAAACGCTGAGAACCTAGAGGCCCAGGTTAATGCTCTGGGGGCAGAGGTTCGAATTTCATCACACCATTGGATGGAATTTGAATTCAATGAGTAAATCTGGAAGATAAAGCTGGTCTCACTGATGGTGACCAACGCAACTACTGTTGATTGCTGTAAAAACTCATCTGGTTCATTAATGTCATGTATTGGTGACGTTTGATTCCACAAAGTCAGCAATAGCTCCCCTTACAGGGGAGGGCAATGGCCCGGTGGTATTATCACTGGTCTGTTAATCCAGAGACCCAGGTAATAATCCGGGGGACCTGGGTTCAAACCCCGACATAGCAGATGGTAGAATTTGAATTCAATAAAAATATGGAATTAGGAGTCTAATACTGACCATGAATCCATTGCTAATTGTTGGGGAAAAACCCATCTGGTTCATTAATGCCCTTTAGGGAAGGAAACTGCCATCCTTACCTGGTCTGGACTACATGTGACTCCAGGCTCACAGCAATGTGGTTAATTCTCAACTGCCCTCTGGGTAGTTAGGGATGGAAAATAAATGCTGCCTAGCCAGCGATGCCCTCATCCAATGAAAGAATAATAAAATTCTCTGCCTTTTGAAACCATCTAGCAAGCCACTCAATTCAAGGGCAATAAGCAACAAGTACTGGTCTTAACAGCAATGTCCACATCCCATGAAAGAATGAAGAAAAGGACGTAGAGGATAAGGCAATCTTCTTGCCCATGAATTTCCACATCCTACAATCCAAATACATTGCTTGCTCTGTTACTTTTTATGTGCTATTGATAGCCCAAATTAAATTTAGGTGGATGGTTTTGAAACATAATAAATTACTTAATGTTTACTCAAGTCAAGGCAAAAGAAATACATTAAACATTAACCAATCACCAATTGCTTTTGTCCAACGTCACTGTGTTCAGGAGTTGTTTACTCCAAGTTGAATGCAAGCTACAGAACAATCCTACACTCTTTAATTATTTCTCTTTGGTCCTCCCAATTACCTCAGGCATTGAAAGAATGTAAATGTAATTTTTGTTGTCCCTGGTTTGTGAGTAAAAAATATATCCCAAAAATCAATGGACAGATTTCAAATAAACTTGGTATGTGAATACGGGACACCCCAAGGAAGAACTGATTCTTTTTTGGTGAATGTCTGATCCAAATCTGGATACTGGAATAATTCAAAAGATCCATTAATATTAGCAGGTTGGGCAAATTGACGTTTTTATTTAGAAAGTTATATGTTGTTTTGTTCAAAATGTTCTCAGATTGTTTTAGAAGGCTGTGGATTGTCTTCAGCTGCTGTGGTGGAATTTTCCACAGTTGTCAAAATACGAGCAGAGTTTCCGCAGCAGGTTGTTGGATATGGATTGGCCTAGAGGCTCCCCAGTTAGGTCAGAACTCTTAATAAAATGTTTTCTTTCTTAAAATTTGCGATACAGAGCATCAACATGCAGGGAAAAGACTCAAGGAAGAGTAATAACTTTGAGTAACATGGCACCTATAACATACTGTACGACATGTCTTCTTCACTGGACCTAAATCTGCACTTTGCAGTTATCATTTAGTGTTTTTAAGGTTTTCTTTCAAAGAATCATAGAATCCCTACAGGGGGGAAAGCAGGCCATTCAGCTCATTGAGTCCACACTAACCCTCTGACAAGCATTCCACCCAGGTCCACCCCCCTACCCTATCATTGTAACTTTGCATTTACCGTGGCTAATCCACGCAGCTTGCACATCCCTGGATATTATGGGCAACTTTTGTTCTCGATAATTCACTCTAGCACTGAAACACTGAGCAAAACGTTTAAATACTTAATACTTCAAGCTTACACAAGTGAATGTAATTGTTAAGGTAACAAAGAAGCGTCTTTTTCCCCATTTGCACTATATTCTCACTCTCACCAAACTTTCCACACAGTCACAGTCCACTCATTTAACATCACTATGAGCAATTACACTCTGGTCTATAATTTTTATTAATTCTGACAAAGAAGATGTTTTATCCAGAATGCCTTGCAGTGATTGAACACTGAGTCATGGTGAATGCTTCCAATAAGTGGAATAAATATTGTTTGGAAGTGACCATGTCAGGTGAAAAAGAGGTAGTATTGAGGTGATTTTTAAAACATCAGTACTGAGGTGCAATTGAAAGAGTATAATAAAGAAGAAAGTGACAGCTCAATTGTTTTGGGTGGAATTAAGAGATTGTAGGAAAGGCAAGCTATTACTGGATTTTGCTGTGGCCCTCCAGGCCTGGGTGAAAGCTTTATTCTAGAACTGTGGGACAAATTAAAGAAGATAGTGCAACAGCATGTTGTCCAGTCTCTCCTTAAAACAAGTTCAACAACTCCAACCAGAATGTTATGAATGAATTTGCCCAGGTGTCCCTCAACACCAAAGCAGTCAAATCATCACGAACATAAGCCAGTACCAATGCAAAATAGTCCCATTTTTATTAGGAAACAAGTTACAAAAAACTTTAATACTAAACATACCATTTCTACTCCTATTTGGGTCCTTAAGCTTACAATACTTCCTGGGTCTCTTGTGGATTTACGCAGTTGCTCCCTCTCTCTGACCCTGTCTGGGTCTGTGAAGCTGCTTTCTCTCTTCCTCTCTCTCAGTTTCTGGCTCTGTCTCTCTCCTTGGATGGTCAGCTGGTCTCTGCCTCTTGCCATGATGGTCTCCTAGGAAAACTTCCGGAAGATTCAAGAGAGATTGGTCTGCAGGTGAACCCTGTTCTTTTATACATTTACGTATGGTCTTCTGGGACTTCGTACAGTTCTGGCCATTGGGGAGACAAAATTAATAGTTTGAAATGGCATCAGTCATTTGGATGGCATGCTACTTTGTGCAGCAGGGCCCAGTGCTTTTCTGGGCCCTCCTTTGGTTGGTATGTTGTTGGGGGTGTGTCTGTCCAGGATACCTGCTGTCTTTTACATTATGCTCATATCATTCGCATCTGGCTGCTGTGTTTGCACTGTGTCTGTTGACTAGGTTTTGTAACATAAGAGTTTTATTTGGCCAACTTACCCAGCATCCCTCACTGTTTGGCCAAGTTAGCAATCTAGTCAGCAGGCTGCTACAAGCTCTCCTGGTGAGACATGAGGAGTTTACAGAGTTAATGGAATACTGTCTCGTGAAACATGTTTGAAATGAGCCAACGTCTTGACCTTAATTATGAGTGATCTCGAATCAAAGGTGCGGGAGACTTTAATGTGTTGTTTAAACATGACTGTCAAGAAATTTGTGAAGAATGAGAAAAGAGGCAGTAAAGCTATGAAGGAAAATGACACCTAATTAAGTCAGGTTCAACACCAGAAGGAATAGAGAGTATGTAGAAAAGGCTGCAGGATTGGAAAGAAAGAACCCAGGTTGAGAAGTGAAGGATAGTCATAAAAGGGATTCTAGTTATATTCAAGTAAAAAGGAAACATGAGCGATGGAATGAAGCCACCGAAAGTGGGATCAGGTGAAGGCACAAATAAGTTTATCATCCCATTTTTTTTAATCTGGTATGCAACAAATAACAAAAATGAAGTCCTGGGGCGTCCAAGCAATCAAGATAAATTCATAAAGAGAAGATCCTGCCAATTTAACTTGCTGCTTTTTCTTTGAAGACACAAGGAGAAGCTTGATAACGGTAGGAAAGTGGATGCAGTTACTCAAAATTATCCAGAATCCGAAGCACAGAAACTGGCTATTCTAGTTGCTCTGGTTTGTATTGTGCACATAAGCCTACCATTACACACCCCCTGTTGTTAGTCAGAGACAGAGATGTTGGCCAGGGAGCAGGGTGGTGCGTTAAAGTGGCAGGCAACGGGTAGTTCAGGGTCTTTATTGCGAGCAGAATGTAGATGTCCTGCGAAGCGGTCGCCAAGTCTATGTTTCATTTCCCCAATGTAGAGGAGACCACATTGTGAGCAGCGAATGCAGTAGACTAGATTCTGGGAAGTGCAGGTGAAGTGTTCACCTGGAAGGTATGTTTGGGCCCTTGGATACTGGGGAGGGAGGAGGTAAATGGGCAGGTGTTGCACCTTCGCTGGTTACAGGGGAAGGTGCCGTAGGGCTGTGGGGAGGTGTTGGGGGTGAAGGAAGTGTGGACCAGGGTATGCCAGAGTGAACGGTCCCTGCGGAAGGCGGACAAGGGAGGGGAGGGGAATATATGGAGGAGTTGTTGTGTTTGAGTTATAAGGAAAAGCTGAATAGGCTGGGACATTTTAACCATGGTGCATTGGCGCTTGAGGAGTGATCTAATGGAGGTTTATGAAATCATGAGGGCCATTGATAAGGTGAATAGACAAGATATTTTTCCAAGGGCAGGTGAGTCCAAAACCAAAGAGCATAGGTTTAAGGTGAGAGGGGAAAGATTTGAAATGGACCTGAGGGGCAATTTTTTTGCATAGAGGGTGTATGGAATGAGCTACCAGAGAAAGTGGTAGAAGCAGGAACAACTGCAACATTTAAAAAAGATTTAGACAGGTTCATGAACAGGAGAGGTTTAGAAGGATATGGACCAAACACAGGCAAATGGGACTAGTTAAGTGAGGCATCCCTGGTTGGCATGGGCGAGTTGAACCAAAGGGTCTGTTTTCATGCTGTACGAACTCTTTGACTCTATGACTAATTCAATCCCTGAAACACCAAGTATTTAGAGATAATATAGGAAAATAATGCCAATTTGATGCAAATAAGTTCAGTATTAAGTACAGCCACCATTTCTCCCCCAGTGTAATGTGTGTTTGGATTTCAGTTAAGTCTCCGATATGGCCAGTCTCAGAATTAAGATTAGTACTGAACATAAAGTGACTGGGATTCAGTGAAAATATTTTACAACATTGATATAACTGGTTGACTGGTACAGCCAAGTGTGTGGTGGTAGAGACAGTGTCCTATGTCCTATGCTTTTTGTAAATCTGACTGTTGTTACCCTGCAGGTTATTTCTAAGAGGCTCCAGGAAGATCAGGATCAGCATGGCATCTCGTGACAGCAATACAGCCGGTAATAAAGGCCACTTTACTGAAAACGTGCTGTGTGTAAATTCCACTAGCCATTTGGTGTGAAGAAGACTTCCTGATACCATACTGAATAAACAGGCTCTAACTTTAGGGTTTTGCCCCTTGTTCTGATCTCTTACCCCCGAGGAAAGAATTTCTCTCCATATACCCTATCCACTCATTCAATCATTTTAAAGGCATTGATAAATCACACTTAAGTCTCTGATGTCATGAGAATATGAGGCGAGCCTGTGAAACCTGTCTTCAGAATACAGCCTAACCCTTTCAGTCTCGGCATCATTCTGGTGAATCTGTGCTGTGGCCCCTCTGAGTAGCATATCCTTCTTGAGGAATGTTGAAGGAGAGTCAGCCCAAGGAGAGAGCTTCATCAAGTCTGTTATTGCCAAGCCTCATTGTCTAATTCTTGCCTTCTGTAAAAGATGTGAGATGAGTGGAGTTTCGCTATCCCTCCCCAGCAAAAACTGGGAGGTTAGCAACAAAATTCAGATATTCCCAACATTTCCCATTTTAACTTTGCTGCTGGATTAAATATCCACCTCAAACAGGCTCAAGCCTCATAATGTTTTCAAGTCATGTCCTATTACATCAGATACAACCCTGATGCATTATTAGACAAGGCCTGAGTGGGGAGTCTGTGGTGGAGTGGGGCATGAGGCAGATGCAGGTCAGCAGATAAAAGAGACCCCATCGGGTCAAGTACATCTGAAACTTTCTCCTGGGGGAGTCGGGAGGAGCAGGATTTTTCCCGGACTCTACCCACTTCCTGAGGCCTCTTCAAAATCTGGCCAGTTATTTGGAAGGCAGGGCCCACCTTCATCAGCTGCCATTCCTCACCTTCACACCAGTTCCAGGCAACTCTCCACCATTTGAAACACCCAGGGCCTGAAGTTTGGCATTGCATCCCCATCACTTGGGGTTTAAATACAAGTTGCAAATGTCAGCAATGTTTTCGACAGGACAGCAATTCAATCAAACTGGTCCAGGTATGGGATTGGTTTAATACACTCCATAACTTGTTTGCAGTTTGTGGGTGATTTGTTTGAGGCCTTTAAAGTATTTTTGTACAGCTCCACACCAAACATAAAGGGGCTGGCTTGTGTGTGACCCTTGTGGAACTTGCTGATTGCAGGCCTGCGGAAACATTGACTTGGAAACCGAGTACAAGGGATAAAAACACAAAGTGCTGGGCAGCATCTGCAGTGGGTGCGCAGATTCAACGTTTCAAATCCAATTGCAAATCCAACCTGCAGTCCTCAGTCACTGGCCATCACTTTCTTTCAGGGGAACATTTCGCTGCACAGTTGCTGAAATCGGTGAATGAATATCGAGTGAAACACGGAGCAGGGCCGTTAACCCTGAACGCAGCAATGAGTGAGAAAGCTGAGAAGTGGGCAACGTATCTGGTCGCTTCCAGGACATTGAAGCACAGCGACACACCGTATGGGGAGAATATCTGGTGTCAGCAAGGCTCTGGCAGTCTCCAGGTCACAGGTATATCTCATCACCACTTGAAACACACACGTAAGGGGAAATCTTATTGAATGATGTGAGGTATTGCAGGAAATGCGTCAGATGCATTTTTGGTCATTTATATAAATGATTTGAATGTGAACATAGGAGGTATAGTTAGTACTTTTACAGATGACACCAAAATTGGAGGTGTAGTAGACAGCGAAGAAGATTACATCAGAGTACAATGATTTGTTGATCAGATGGGCCAACGGGACGAGGAGTGGAAGACGGAGTTTAATTTAGATAAATGCGAGGTGCTGTGTTTTGGAAAGGCAAATCAGGGCAGAACATGTGCACTTAATGGTAAGGTCCTGGGGAGTGTAGCTGAACAAAGAGACCCTGGGGTGCAGGTTCATAACTCCTTGAAAGTGGAGTCACAAGTCGACAGGGTAGTGAAGGAGGCATTTGGTATGCTTGTCCTTATTGGTCAGTGCATTGAGTATAAAAGTTGGGAGGTCATGTTGCAGCTGTACAGGACTTTGGTTCGGCCATTTTTGGAATACTGCATGCGATTCTGATCTCCCTGCTGTAAGAAAGATGTTCTGAAACTTGAAAGGGTTCAGAAAAGATTTACAAGGATGTTGCTAGGCTTGGAGGGTTTGAGCTATAGGGAGAAGCTGAATAGGCTGGTGCTATTTTCCCTGGAACGTCGGAGGCTGTGGGGTGACCTTATAGAAGTTTATAACATCATGAGGGGCATGGATAGGGTGAATAGTCAAGTTCTTTTCCCCAAGCTACAGGAGTCCAAAACCAGAGGGCCCAGGTTTAAGGTGAGAGGGAAAAGATTTAAAAGGGGCCTGAGTTGCAACTTTTTCATGCAGAGGATGGTGTGTGTATGGAATGAGTCTGCCAGAGGAAGTGGTGGAGGCTGGTACAATTACATTTAAAAGGCATCTGGTTGGGTATATGAATAGGAAGGGTTTAAAGGGATATGGGCCAAATGTTGGCAAATGGGTCTAGATTAATTTAGGATTTCTGGTCTGCATGGACAAGTTGGACCGACGGGTCTGTTTCCGTGCTGTACAAGCCTATGACTCTGTGACTCTATAAGCACATGAGAAGTCCAGCAAGGCCCATTTTGATGGTGGAACAACTCGCTGCCTTCTTTAACTAAACTTCTTTAACTTCTTCAACTAAATGTTTTAACTTCTTTAACCCAGCATTGAGGCAAGATTGTTGGTAGGGAGCATGAGTTGCTAGTTAGGGGGAATTTATTGCTTGTTAATGAGCTTATTAACTGCACATCTGACTTCATTTCTATGCAGCTGCCCATCCTACTACCTGCTGCCAGCAAACTGGATTCTGAGAATTCTCAGCACTATCTCAGATCATGTACTTCAGCTTGCTCCAAAGGACCTTCATGTTGGCGCTCAGTCCCAAACACCACAGGGCATGCTCCATTGGCCATGACAATGGGCTCCCCATCTTCACAGGCATTGGCATTGACATTGGTCAACCTTTAGGAACCCTCATGGCACATCTCCGATCCCCTTACAGGGCACCTCAGCTCTTCACTGGTGCAGCTGCAGCTATCGGGGAGGTGGTGGCCTAGTGGTATTATCATTGGACTGTTAATCCTGAGACCCAGATAACATTCTGGGGACCTGGGTTCAAATCCCACCACGGCAGATGGTGGAATTTGAATTCAATAAATATCTGGAATTAAGAACCAAATGATGACCATGAATCCATTGTCCATTGTTGACTGTTGGAAAAACCCATCTGGTTCAGTAATGCCCTTTAGGTAAGGAAACTGTCACTCTTACCTGGTCTGGCCTACATGTGACACCAATGTGGTTGACTCTTAACTGCCCTTTGGGCAATTAGGGATGGGCAATAAATGCTGCCTAGCCAGCAACACCCTCAGCCTGTGAATGAATAAAGGAAAAAAGCTTGGGGCACAGCAGCAACGATTGCAGCATTGTGCGCCCAGCTGACACCCCTATTCCCTTGCTCACTCATTCTGAGCCTATCCAGATGCTCATAGCATCCCCACCTCACCTTGTGTTTATGCCCTTTGCCTCCTCAGCCAGAGATACCAGGCTCACAGCTCTGCTGTGTCAACGCAGCATTTAGCACAGACACGGTTGCCTGCACTCCTCACTCATGTTGAGGGGGATAGTCTTCAGTCAAGGGGTCTCAACACAGTCAGTCAAGGACAGCATCCGATACCAGTCCAGGGGCTGCTCAGAGCAGTCATAGAGTCATAGAGTCATACAGCACGGAAACAGAATTTTCATTCCAACTCGTCCATGCCAACCAGGTTTACTAAACTGAACTAGTCCTGTTTGCCTGCATTTTGCCCATATCCTTCTAAACCTTTCCTATCCATGTACCTGTCCAACTGTCTTTTAAATGTTGTAATTGTACCTGCCTCTACTACTGCCTCTGGCAGTTCATTCCACGTACACACCACCCTCTGCGTGAAAAAGTTACGCCTCAGGTTACTTCTAAATTTTTCCCCTCTCACCTTAAACCTATGCCCTCTAGTTTTGGACTCCCCTACCCTGAGGAAAAGACCTTGACTACTCACCGTATCTATGCCCCTCACGATTTTATAAACCTCTGTAAAGTCACCCCACAGCCTCTGATGCTCCATGAAAAAGAGTCCCAGTCTATCCAGCTTCTCTTCATAACTCAAACTCTTCAGTCTCAGTAACATCCTTGTAAATCTTTTCTGAATGTTTTTCAATTTAATAACATGCTTCCTATAGGAGGGAGACCAGAATTGTACACAGTCTTCCAGGAGTGGCTTCACCAATGTCCTGTAACATGACCTCCCAACTCCTATACTCAATGCTCTGACCAATGAAGGCAAGTGTACCAAATGCCTACTTTACACCCTTCTGTCAGTGACTCCTCTTTCAAAGAACTTTGCATCTGCACCCCTAGGTATCTCTGTTTCGTAACACTCCCCAGGGCCTTACGTTAACTGTGTAAGTCAGTCAAGATAAGGGCTGAGAAGCTGAATGTCAGGCAGCCATTTTGACTCTTCCTGCCCTATTGTTGACATTTCTCCTGGAATGAGGGAGGGCTGGGTATTAAGGGAAATGGATGTGAGTGGAACACCTGTCGTTTTCAGTGCAGGTGAGGAGGTGTCCTGAGTGAGTGAGTAGAGAGTGCAGAGGGCAGGCAGGGTTAGAGGGTTTGGGAGTTGGGGTGGGTGACAGCAAGTGAGGAATTTCTTGAAGGTAGTAGCGAGAGTGATAGGGCATGAACCTTGGTGGATGGTGGGTCAAGCCGTGGAGCTAGAGTACGAGCTATGGTGGACAAAATGGTGACATTGAGGCAGGCGGAGTGCTGAGGATCATTGACTTTGCTACAGTGCGGGACATTCCTACAGCTGACTGAGTTGACCCAGTTGGCCAGACAGTACCAGGCTGGCATGGTCTAGTGTCATGGTCCTGAGGCAAGAGGACACCCCATATCGTGGCCACCAGCACTTTCAGGTTCCTGCCTGCAAAGCAGGGTGCCAAATATTTCCAGGTCTGCCATGTCCAGGGAAAAATATCAGGAATCGTGCAGGGCAGCTCTGGACTGACTGTCCTTGTCCAGATGCACAGCAGGTTTTAAAAGTAGCACCAGGATCGGCAATGCTGCTCAGTTCCGGGATATCCAACGAGGGGCACGTTGTTCTGGGAAAGGCAGATAGTTGGATGGGGCTGCATTCGGATGAATTGAGCACGTAGGGGCGCGGTAGATAGTTCACGAACAGAGTTAGATAAGATGTCGTGCAAATTCACACTGGACCTCATGATGAGAAACCATCAATGAAACTTGTTGACACTGACATTTTGTCAAAAAAAACATATGATTTAGCAAGAGAATTAACATCAGCGAGAGCAGATGTAGATTGGATATCAGACCGAAGCCTATTGAGAACTTTCCTTCTACAGCCCATGTGTACTGTACTCTCTTTAATACCGAATTCATTCTACAAATTCTTACCTTCCTCACAGTAACCCCAGTGAAATTCCTGAGTACCTTCCTGGCCTGGTTGCAGACAAAGAAAAAGGTTTTGTTCTTGGTTCAGTTTGTATAACTGTCACCTCTGAGGCAGTGTTGTGACCTCCAATTGCAGATATGACAAATATAAAATTCGAACACAGCAGATTCCCAAATTAGAGACAGATAATCAGTTTTAGCGATGTTGATGAAAGAATAAATATTGACCATGTTAACATGGAGAACTGTCCTGTTTAAAGGGCGCATGACATTGATAATGAATAAAAGGGACTACATCTCCAAAGCACAGGCACTGCTCGCCGACGAGAACACATACCGGCCAGTACAGACTGACCCGACACCACAACTAGGCAACAAAATCTTCTACACGCTACAAAGACTTAAACAAACAGGACAGATCAACAAAACAGATTTCTTAAGAATGAAACCCGAAGAAACCAACACACCCTGATTCTACGGCCTCCCTAAAGTGCACAAGCCGGAAGTCCCCCTCAGACCCATAGTCTCCTTGCCAGGCACTCCATCGCACAGATTAGCCAAGGAACTACAAAGAAGACTCAGGCACATTGTCAACAAGTCACCCCACTCTATCCACTCAGCCCAAGAATTCCTCAACTCCATCAAAAACATAAAGATAGAGGACGAAGAGGCCATGATATTGGTTGATATCACTGCCCTATTCCCATCAATAGACATACCACTAGCAAGGGAAACAATGACAGCACTACTGGAACAAGAGCAAGATCCCACTGAAACCATCTCCAAGGACAACATGCTCAAACTATTGGACCTATGCCTGACCACCCACTTCACCTTCAACAGCCAAACATATGAGCAAATCAACGGGACACACATGGAATTGCCTATCTCCGGACACAGAGCAGAAACAGTGATGCCAAGACTGGAAAGGACTGCCCTTCCGCAAATTCAACCTAAACTGTGGATACGCTACGTAGACGACACCTTTGTCATCATTAAACGGACCAAATTAGAAGAGACACACAAACTTATAAACAACACCCTCAACGGAATAAAATTTACCAGAGAGGAGGAGAAGAACAAACAACTCCCATTCCTGGACGTCATGGTAGAGCGCAAGACAAATGGGGAACTCCAAATGAAAGTACACAGAAAAGCCACACACACAGACCAGGTACTGAACTTCAACAGTAACCATCCCAGCACACACAAACGAAGCTGCGTGCGAACACTATTTAAAAGGGCAACAACACACTGCAGCAACACAGAACTATGCCAAGAGGAAAAGGAATACCTCTTCCTTTTCAAGGATAATGGATATCCAAAGAACTGGGTCAGAAGATGCCTACACGAACAGCATCAGAAAGATACTACACGCCCCGACACACTCATCACACTACCCTATATCAGAAACACGTCAGAACTAACTACAAGACTCCGATGAATGCTGGGCATCAGAGTGGCACACAAACCCACATCAACCCTACGACAACTGCTCACCCGAACTAAAGACCCACTCCCTGCCATGGACAGGACCAATGTCATCTACAAAATCCCCTGCAGAGACTGTGAGAAACACTACATCGGACAAACAGGAAGGAAACTAACAACAAGAGTACATGAACACCAACTGGCTACAAAAAGACACGACCAATACTCACTCATCTCAATCCATATGGACAAGGTGAACCACAACTTCGATGGGACAACACCAAGATCCTGGGACAGGCTAGGCAGAGACAAAAGCATGGCACTCCACAAAGCATGCTGGTAATAAAGACATTGAACTCGACCCCATATACACTCCCACTATGAAGGAAAACTGGAAGTGAGGCAATCCATCTCAATGGACCCCAGAGTTTAAAAACCAGGCGGGAAAACACACCGACGCTTCATCGGAGGCTGCACTGAGGATGTTACCAAGCATGTATTACGGATGGAGAACCACGCCTCTAGGAATTCCCGTGTGTGTCTATGTTTGGATTGGGCTACTATGGTTACTTTGTCCCAGCTAAATTGATGGTCTTCATTGTTTGAGTGTACTGATATTAAGGGAAGTTTGTCGTGCCGTTTTGCTGCTAGCTGATGTTCATGTATTCTGATGGCTAGTTTCCTTCTTGTCTGTCCAATGTAATGTTTGTGGCAGTCATTGCATGGTATTTTGTAAACCACATTGGTTCTGCATACTGTGGGAATGGAGTCTTTAATCCTTGGAAGTGTTTGTCGTAGAGTGGCTGTGGGCTTGTGGGCCCCATGATTTCGAGTGGTCTTAGGAGTCTTGTTATCAGTTCTGATATGTTCTTGACATAGGGCAGTGTGGCCAGTGTGTTAGGGCGTACTGTGTCCTCCTGTTGTTGTCTGTTTAGTAGGCATCTGTGGATGAAGTTGCGGGGATATCCGTTTATAGTGAGGATTTTGTAAAGGTGCTCTTCCTCCTTCCTGCGTAGTTCTGGGGTGTTGCAGTGTGTCCTGACCCATTTAAATAGTGTCCAAATGCAGCTTTGTTTGTGGACGTTGAGGTGGTTGCTGTGGAAGCTGAGGATTTAATCCATATGGGTTGCTTTTCTGTATAATGAGGTTTTGGAACTCCCCATTGGTCATACGCTCAACTCTAACGTCCAGAAACGGAAGTTGATTGTTGTTTTCTTCGTCCCTTGTGAATTTAATCCCTGTGAATTGCTGAGCTTTTCCAGCAATTTTTGTTATTGTTTCTGATTTCCAGCATCTACAGTTCTTTGATTTTTAAATTTTATCATAACTTTACTGGAACAGGGTTTGTCAAGATCAGCCTTACTAAAATAGAGATTCAGAATAATAACAGTTCATTAAAATTAATTAATTGCAAGGAGTTCATTGCAACAATTTTTCATGACAGTTTATTACAATGGATACTGTATAATGGTGTGTTATATAGGGGTTAATGATAACTGAAGATTAATCATGACAGAGGCCTTTATAACAAAATTACTTGCAGAGAGATATCTAAGTATATCTTTTTTCTCACTGTGGCACACCACTACTTACAATGGATTTAATTAAATAATTCTATCCATATTTCCAGGAAAGGAAGTTGCAGATTCTTGGTACAATGAAGTTAAAAAATATAACTTCTCTTCTCCTGGATTTCAAAAGAATTGTGGTAAGTAACTGACTGACCCAACAAGTTACATAGAACATAGAACAGTACAGCACAGTACAGGCACTTTGGCCCATGATGTTCTGCCGACCTATTATCCCACTACAAGATCAAACTACCCTGCATACCCTTACCATCATCCATGTGCAATGAGATTACGATGAGACCTCAGGCCCAATCTCTCCTAATGGGATAGTACTTCCTCTGATGAAGCTTCGTTGCACTTCCCATATGACAATAACGTCTTTTCTGAGATAAGGAGACAAAAGCAGTACACAGTACTCTAGGTGCAGTCTAACCAAGCTCCTACACCATTGAAGCAACATTTCACTATTTCTGTACTCAAATCCCCTTGCAGTAAAGATTAATATTCTACTGATCTTCCTAACAGTTTTCTGCACCTGCATGTTAGCCTTCAGTGACCCAGTTACCCTGAGATCCAAGTCCCTTTGTGCATCTACATTTTCCAGCCTCTCATTTATGAAATGCTCTGCTCATCTCTTCCTACGACCAAAGTGGATAATCTCACATTTTTCGACATTATATTCTAACGGCCAGGTTCTTATCCAGTCACTAAGCCTTTCCAAATCTTCCTGAAAATGTTTTACATCTCTCTCACAACACACATTCCTGCTTACCTTTGTGTCATCTGCAAATTTGGAAATATTACGTTTAGTCCTCACTTTGAAATCATTGATGCTGAGGTCCAAGTACTGATCCTTGTGGTACCCCAATAGTCACAGCCTGCCAATACAAGAATGGCCCATTTATTCCTACTCCTTCTTTTCTGTTTGTTAGTCAGTCCTTAATCCATGCAAATACATTACCTCCTATACCATATACTTTAATTTTGCTAGCCAACCAAAGCTAAAGCCTGTGTCATGATAAACTGCACCATCATACCACTTTTCTAATGACCAACTCAGTGAGACTCCTCACTTGGCTCAAATCTCACCTATTCAATAAATAGTCAGAGTGTTCTAAAAATGGTTTCACTTCCTTAACCTGCAACTTCAGCTATAGACTTTCCCAAGGATTAATCCTCGGCTCACGCCCCTTTCCAACTTTCCTTGGGGACACTATTGGCAAATATGTGGCCAACTTCCACATCATTATAAATTTACAGGAAGAAACAAAATCTACCACTCTACAAACTGTACCAAAAGTGTAATTTCCTTATTTAATCACCAGGTATAGTCAACTTGTTTCTCTTTATTGTTGTTCATTAGAATGAAAGATTTTCACCAGGCTTTTCAATAACTGAAAAATAACATGTTTTTTACAGGCAAACTTATTCTTCCAACAAGTGTCAAACTGTTATCAATTAAGCTACAATGCAAATTAAACTATATACCCTTAATCCCAAACACACATACACAGACACACACAAATTTGCAGTTGGGGAAAAATTAGAGAAAAAGAAAAAAGAAACTCCACATGCCTCTAGGTCAAGGGTGATTTTAGATGCATTTTTTTACAATTCGTTTGAATTTCGGTTGATGGGATCATTTACTGACAGTTTCAGAACAATGGAAAATCTTAAGACTAGATTTCAAATTCAGCTGAGAAATAATTAGGAATCCAGATATTTCACAGTCACTTTTTTAAAAAAAACTACTTCTCTGAGAGAGATATAGACTATGCTGTATTCACCTCCAATCTCTAACTGTTACTGACTCTCTGACAGAGTGAGAGACTGTACTGCTTCTCCTTGCAAACTTCTCCAGTAACTACCCACGTTTTCTAGATGTGAGGTGAAGAAAGAACCCATTACCGCAGTTTAGAGGCTAGTTGCTAGGTGATAGTAGCATAAATCCAATAGGGTTCTCCAGGTCTGCTTGCTCAATGACTAAAGCAATAAAACTCCATCCTTATATCGCCCTTTAACATAGCCAGACATCATTTTCCAAATTCGTTTGTTTTATTGTAAACAAATAAACCATAGTCTCCTTTAAGCTTTTGAATCTGCAACTCCAAGCAACCACATGACAACACTTTTTCAATCCAGTAATGCCCAAATGTAATTTTTAAAGTTCTCATCATCCATAAAACATGCATTCCCAACAACAAGATATCCAGCTCTATTTCTCCAACTCTCCCAACACTTCCATCTCTGTGGAGTTAGACAGTTTTTCTGATATCTAATTCTAGATAAGCTGTAAATGTCTCTAACTGAATTCTTCTCAAACATTTATCATCATTGGCCCTCTTACCACTCTGACTCATCATATCTGAGGCTGAGGCAGTTATTTCCAACTTTGCCATCTGATTTGACTGAGCTGCTTCCTACTCAATAATCTCCCCATCCCAAACCTTTGTGCTGCCTACCATCATCGATACACCATGCCTGAGGCCCATTGACTGCTGAAACCCTGATCTATGAATTTTTAACCTCCAGACCCGACTGCTCCAATGCCATCATGACCTTTCATCCTTTAGAGATTTCTAATCATGCATAGCTTTGATATTTATATCGGTTCTGCGGTAAATCCTATTCATCCATCATTCATGACTGCACTGATGAGCAATGATTTCTAGTGACCTTTTGGACAAGTGACCTTTTCTTTGACATCAGCCACGTTTTGTTAGAAAAGGAAAACAAGGCCAATGGAAAGGTTGACAAGGCAGTAGGGAATATCAAAGAGGGAATGAACAATTACTTTGCAAAGCCAACTGCTATTATTGCATTTAGTCCTAGGAGATACATTGGAAGCTTACAGTTGTCTCCTTAATCTCTCCAACTCTCCAAGGGCTTGGGTTGCCACCAACTACAAGGCCCATGTTTATCTTTACATGTCAGACTGTGTTTCACTGTTTCATTCAACGCACTGCCTTGAATGGTTCCGTCCATCGCTCCAAATTTATGAATATAAACCCAGAACACCCATGGGTATTCACTAATCCCATTGAGTGTGAGTTCCCTTGGTAACAGGAAATAGTCTGCCCAGATGGAACTCATCACCTGAGCCCTTTATAAAGCAGACCCTTTTGTGGCACAGTGGTCCCTACCCTGCACTGGAAGACCTGGGTTCAAGTCCCACCTGCTCCAGAGCTGAGTAACAACATCTCTGAACATGTTGATTAGAAAAATAGGTTAATTAAAAAATTATAAAGTAGACCCAGAGTGTTTTGCCTGTTAATATTTAATTGACTGCACAGGAGATTACTGATGATGGTAGTGTAGTAGATTACACATAAAACAATCATGGTGATTTTGGTGGTAGCAGGCTCACTCAGTTGTGTGTGATAACACTTCTGAGTAGGACTGAAAAAGAATAAAGCAGACCCAGCTTCAGGGATTGGCCAGCAGGGCATCGGTGGAGATCCAGCTCACAGCCAATGCCATCCATCACCTGAAAATGGCGATGCTCAGACCCAACACCATGCACCATTTGGACGATACTGACCTGGAATCCCATCTGAGCATACCCCAACTCACAATGGAATTTCACATTGGTCCTGAACCTCCCTCAGAATCTCCTTGGGTAAACTGAGTGTGTCTTTACACCTTGCAAAGAGATGTTTTTCTCATACAGGCTGCTGCTGCACACCAACTACCTCGACTCTTACATCCACCGCCCAGACACACCTTGGCAGGTGGTAGGGAGCCCCAGTGGAAGGCTCTCTACATGGGAGCCCTTCCTCTTTCCTTTGGGGACCTGCAGTGGATGGTGTTACAGGCAGCAGACCCTTGTAACTGAAGATTGCGGCAGTTCATGGACTCCCAGCCCCACTGTTTACTTTGTGGCACTGCGGAGCCAAGGATTATGCATATATATTGTTTGTGGTCATTGCACCCCCTTCCTAGTTATTTGAGAAATATTTTGTTGTGTTTTTTGGTTGCCCTTCAGCTCCATGCTCCTGATACTTGGGCAACCGGTGCAGAGGGGTGTGGGCAGATGGGAGGACCACCCCGTGGCAGTGCATTGGGCCTGGCCCAGGCTGCAGACTATGGAGAGGGGCATCTCTCCCGACTGCCTGCCCTCTTCCATGGTTACATCCATGTCCTTGGAGAGAGAGCATGCACCGTCCATTAATGCTCTCAATGCCATTCGAGACAGGTGGGCACCATTGGGAATATACTACATAAATTCCCCCTCCAACTCCATTTTGATTTAGTCCCTTCACCCTCTCCTGACCACCCCCTCACTTTACTTTGCCCACAATGGACTTTGCTTGTAAATGCACAATTGAACACATGGTGTTTTATTGGTTGGTGCCGATAGTTAAAAACAAACAAAAAATTATGAAGTGTCCCAGTGATTTGGCGTTGGGAAAGCTGTTTGGTCATGTGTAAGAGCTTCTGGTTAAAAAAAAAACAAAAAGGAGAACTGATGGATGTTCTCCAGAAGGTATTTGATAAGACGCTACATCAAAGGAAATAGCAGAAAGCAAAGGTTGATGGAGGAGGGAGTAATAAGATAGAGGAATGGCTAGCAAACAAGAAGCAGTCAGCATAAATGGGTCATTTTCAGATTCACAAGATGTGACAAGTAACGTGCTACTGGGACCATTTCCCTACCACAAACTTACCCCTCCATCGCTGATTAGCTGATGAAAAAAGCAGAGCTAGAGGTTCTTGTGGTGTAATGGTAGTGTCCCTACCTGTGAACCAGGAGGCCTGCGTTCAAATCCCACCTCCTCCCAAACCCAACTTTCAGTTCTGTTCTGGGCTGGGGCTGGCCTATGTACACCCTGAGTCATGGCTCTATTTTAGTGTTCAGCAACAAATGATGTTCCTTTCCAGTCAAGCTTTCTCAGTTATTTCAATAATATTTGTCAAATCCTATTATGATATGCTAACCCTCCCCCTCCTCACCCCTCCCTGCCACATCGCTGTACCCTTTTCGCCTCCTGTCACCACATCTTTGTACCCTCTTCCCCTCCTGTCACCACATCTTTGTACCCTCTTCCCCTCCTGTCACCACATCTCTGAACCCTCTTCCCCTCCTGTCACCACATGACTTCAGCTGTTTTAGGTAACACTCTGAAACTAATCACACTTAAACCACTCTGCCCATTGACTTTGGTCCTGTCATCAGAACCACCTCCATACACAAGTTTTTGATAATTTCTTTCATGCTTTACTTTTGAGTGGTGGTCAATTTTTAATAAGAATTCTATAAAGTGTTTTTGCACAATGTTTTATGATAAAGGCAAGTTATTATTGCAGGTATCTCTGCTGCTAGATACACTGGGAGTAAGTAATTTGATTTTCTAAAGTTCAGGAATAGTCTGTTGATAAGAGCAGGATTGTTTCTTGCAGGCTGCTACAGATAGATTGGAAGATAGAGCATATATGTGAACTGTCTGTGCTCTTTGTAAATCACCTGACTGCTGTTCCTCTGCAGGCCATTTTACACAGTTGGTTTGGAGAGAGTCCAAGGAGATGGGGGCTGGCCTGGCATCAGATGGCAAAGGTCTCACCATCGTGGTGGCCCAGTTTGACCCAGCCGGTAACATCACCAACCCTGGCTACTTTGCTGAAAACGTCCTGCCAGTTGGAAGTAAAGTGAAGGAGGACGAGAGTGGTTCGGCACAAGGAGACAGTGGTAAGGCACCAGAAACAGGCAACGTGGCACTACTGCCAGCTGCGGGCTTTGTTAGGAACAGAAGTATCCTAGTCACCCCAATGAGCTTGCCAAGCCATTCAACATTCAACTCAATTTATGACAGATCAAACACTTCAATGCCTTTTACCCACTCCATCCCCATAACCCTGTGTGTAACATATAATCAGAAATCTGTTAATCTCTACCTTCAACATACTCACAGACTGAGCTTTCACAACCCTCTGTGGAGAGCATTCCAAAGCTCCCAGCAGTCTGAGCAGGCGGCATGGTGGCTCAGTGGTTAGCACTGCTGCCTCACCGCACCAGGGACCCACCCGAGTTTGATTCCAGCCTCGGGCGACTGTCTGTGTGGAGTTTGCACATTCTCCCTGTGTCTGCATGTGTTTCTTCCGGGTGCTCCGGTTTCCTCCCACAGTCCAAAGATGTGTAAGTTAGATGGATTGGCTGTAGGAAGTGCAGGGTTAAGGGATAGGATAGGATAAGGGTTGGGATGCTCTTTGGAGGGTCAGTGTGGACTTGATGGTCTGAATGGCCTGCTTCCACACAGTAGGGATTCCATGAAAACTTATCCTCCTCTTAGACCTCAGTATTTTAAAATTGTTCTCTCAGCTTTTAGACTCGCCAGCAAGAGATACATCTTACCTACTTGTCTATCCCTTTTATTACTTTGTGGGTTTCAACGAGATTACCTCTTGTTGTTCTATGAAAATCACTTGTACATGTAAGAAAAACTGAAAATAAAGTTTGAAGTGGAACAATGACTAAAAGCTTGGTTTGGGTAACTCCGAGACTCTGAGCAGAATCGAGGGACTGGAGATTCAAAGGCCTAGCAGGACGAGGTCAGGTCCCGGTATAAATTACAAACGATGATTTCAGATTGCATCATCGGATCTCAGAGCCTCCATCACACAGCGGTATTTTTAAAGCAGGAGGAGGAGCCAGCTACCCACACATTTCCAGTGAACAGACTGTTGAGATAACTGTGAAAATCATTAACAGTCTTTGTCAGCACTTATAGATGTTCAATCAAGAGGTCATAGAACCCTACAGAGTAGAAGCAGGCCATTCAGCCCACCCTGATCCTCGAAAATGCAACCCACGTCCTACCCTATCCCTTATTTCACATGGCTAAACCACCTAACCTATGTATCTCTGGACACTATGGGCAATTTAGCATGGCCAATCCACCCACCCTGCACATCTTTGGACTGTGGGAGGAAACCCATGCAGGCACAGGAAGAACATGCAAGCTCTGCACAGACAGTCACCCGAGGGTGGAATCAAACCTGGTTCCTGTTCATGTGACCTGTGGTTATTGGGTCAGGGAAAACACACCTCCCAGTGGATCCACAAATTTCTGAACCTGCTTCAACAATGTTCTCAAGTAATTAGACAAGATCTTACTACCCTGTCTGCAATCTTTAGGTAATGCACAAGATTTCTCTCAATGTTGGAACATCCGCTGACGCTTCCTTCCTTCCTTGTTATTTTTCTTCCACTATACAAAATGTTTCTGTTTTTGATGCATTTTCAGGTCGGGTGAGGAAGAGTCTGAATTTTCATCTTTACATCCGCTGCATAATTCTCCTGTATGGTGTTCCTCCTCTTTCACTTTCAGTGATCACACACAGATTGTTATTTAATGCTAGAAGGGAGAATGTTGCAGCCACCTTCTATAGAGAGAGAAGTGAGGGGGTGAGAGAGACATTGTACTTCCTCAAGGCAAGCTCCCTCGCTCTGTGGGCTTTGCAGTCCATCACTGACCATCACTTTCTTTCAGGGGAACATTTCGCTGCACAGTTGCTGAAATCGGTGAATGAATATCGAGTGAAACACGGAGCAGGGCCGTTAACCCTGAACGCAGCAATGAGTGAGAAAGCTGAGAAGTGGGTGAAGCATCTGGTCGCTTCCAGGACATTGAAGCACAGCGACACACCGTATGGGGAGAATATCTGGTGTCAGCAAGGCTCTGGCAGTCTCCAGGTCACAGGTATATCTCATCACCACTTGAAACACACACAATGTTTCTTGGTCAACATTTGTGGGACTGGGTTTGTATTTCATAGAGTCATAGAGTCTTTACACTGCGTACATACCAGTCATCAAACATCTATCTATTCCAATCCTATTTATCAACACTTGGCCTGTGGCCTTGAATTCTCTGGCATTTCAAGTGCTCATATAATTACTTCTTAAATGTCTTGATGGTTTCTGCCTCCACCAAACTTTCAGGCAGTGAATTCCAGAGACTCGCTATCTTCTGGGTGAAAAAGGTTTTCCTTAAATCCCCTCTAAACCTCCCATTCCTTACCTTAAAACTGTGTCTCCTGGTTATTGACCCTCTACTACAAATGGAAAGCTTTCTCTCGATCTATCTGTACCCCTGACACCTTTATACACTTCAATGATATTCCACCACCCCCAACCTTCTCTGCTGTAAGGTGCACAATCCCCAAGACTATCGCAGATGAAACTTCATAGATAAATCATTCCAGCCCAGGTAACATTTTAGTGACTCTTGTCTGCACTTTCTCTCATGTAACTACATCAGACAGACATGGTCTCATGCTGTTGTCACTGGACTATTAATCCAAAGTCCCAGTTAATGTCTCGGGGACCTGGTTTCAAATCACTGCCATGCTAGATGATAGAATTTAAACTCAATGTTTAACAAAGTCTGGAATTAAGAGTCTAATTAAGTCCATGAAACCATTGTCCCTTGTTGGAAAAACCCATTTGGTTCATTAATGCCATTCAGGCAAGGTAACTGCCATCCTTACCTAGACTGGCCTGTATGTGACTCCAAACCCTCAGCAATGTGGCTGATTCTTACCTGCCCTGTGGGCAATTAGGGATTGGGCAATGAATGCTGACACAGCCAGTGACACCACCATCCTTTCAATGAATTTTTAAAAAATCCTTCATATCATTTTAGAGATGAGAACTCAGTATTCCTAAATAAGATCTTATACAGTTCCATCATAACCTCCTTACTTTTATATTCAATGTCTTAACACTTAAAGGCAGGAATCTCTCTCCTTCTCAACCATTTTCTCTCCCTGCCCTGCTACCTGTAAGGATCTGTGGACATGCACACTAAGATCCCTCTGATCCTGTATACTTCCTAAGGCTCGATATTCAATGTGTACTCCCTTGCCTTGTTAATCCTCCCAAAATGCATCGCCTCACACTTTTTGGAATCAAATTCCATTTGCCACTGTTCAGCCCATCCCACCAGCCCATCTGTATCATCCTGTAGACTTTCCTCTTTGCTGTTTACCGCACCACCACTAATTTTTGCACCATCTGTGAACTTACCAATCATGCCACGGGGATTCATGTCTAGAATATTATGCACACTACTAGCAGCAAGAGACCCAGCACCAGACTCTGTGACACATCACTGGATACACACTTCCAGTCACAAAGACACTTTTTGACCATTACTCTCTGCCTCATGCCGTTAAGTCTATTTTGACCCAAATTGCCCTGGAAGCCTTGGACATCTTGACTAGTCGCCATATGACACCTTGTTAAAAGCCTTACTGACGTCCATATAGTTCATCAACTGTGTTACCCTCATCTACTCACCTAGTCATCTCCTTGGAAAATACAAATTTGTTAGATTATGATCTCTCCCTGAAAAAAAACCGTGCTGATTATCCTTGATGAATCCATGTCTCTCCAACAGGCGATTTATTTTATTTCTCAGAATTTTTTCCAATCATTTCTCTAGTACTGATGTTAGACTCACAGGCCTGTAGTTTCCTGGTTTATCCTTACCACCTTTCTTAAATAATGTTCGCATAGGAGCTGTTCTTTAATCCTCTGTTCTGCCACTTGTGGCCAGAGATGATTTGACAATTAATGTTGAATTCCCTAAACTCTCCTTCCTTGCTTCACACAGCAGCCTGGGATATACCCCATGTGGGCCTTGTGATTTATTTACTTTCAAGCTCACTGAAACTGCTAATACCTCCTCCCTCTCAACTTCAATTTGTTCAATTTGTAAAATATGACCCCAGCTCATCAAGTATGTTCAACCCACAGCCAATATGCACTTTGCTATACCCTGGACTCAATACAACTCAATTAATTTTACAAAGTCTCACCTTCTCCAAATCTACAGAAGCTCCATAACTCTACATCTATATCAAAAGTCCCTACAGTGTGGAAACAGGCCCTTTGGCCCAACAGGTCCACACCGTCCCTCCAAAAAGCATCCCACCCAGACCCATTCCCCTACCCCTGCATTTCCCATGTCTAACCCACCTAACCTAAACATTCCTGGGCACTACGGGCAATTTAGCGTGGCCAATCCAACTACCCTGCACATCTTTGGACTGTGGGAGGAAACCAGAGCACTCGGAGGAAACCACGGAGGAAACGGGGAGAATGTGCAAACTCTACATAGTCACCCGAGGCTGGAACCAAATCCGGGTTCCTGGCGCTGTGAGGCAGCAGTAAACCGTGCCACCCCTATATGATCCATATGGGTCACAAGATCCTTATCCAAAGCTATCCCAAGTACGATTTCTCTAATAGAGGAGCCAAAGCTAACTATAGCTTCACATAAGCACTGCTGTACATATCTGTGACCTTAAAATTCCCAGGAGTTGCTTGCTTATCTCCGTTTCTCTGGCAAAGTGACCTGTGAGGAGAGGAAACTGCTTCCAGGAATTTCCTGCCCATGTTGTACAAGAATCATCAGATTGTGCTCGATATTTGAGAGTCTTCTGAATCTCTAGGCATAGATTGTACACTTCTTGAAGCTAAAGTTGAATCAAGTCTACAATATAATCGAGACACTTCAGCAGATGAATACTTCCAACAAAATTGCAAATAAAATAATTAGAATTATAACAAGAATTTATGAGTATAAGAGCTTAAGTTTTTTTTGCTATTAATTGTATAAAAAGTTTATTCTAACGAGATTATTGCAAACAGAAGTTGAAAGCGTGTTTCTTGCAATGGTTTATTATGGGAAGAATTTAATTATAAAACAATTTAACACAATTGAACTAACTTGGAGTTTTATAACAATTATTTATTGTAATGAGAAATTTATTGTAGCAGTATTTTATTCTGACAAGTGTTTATTACAACTGGAATTTATTTATAACTTTTGTTTACGACAGCAGAACTTTGTTGTGGATTGAATTTATTGTAACTTGAGTGTATTCTGACAGGAGTTTAGTATAACAGGAGTTCATGTATATCCAGTTTGTCCGAAGAGGAGTTTCTGATAAGAGTTTATTGTAACTAGTTTATTAGCATGATACTTGAGGGCTTGTCTCCTGCCCCAGACTGTGCCCTGTTTATGCTGTAAGTGTGTTAAGCTGTCAATCTTTCTACGTTTAAAGGAAAGGATGCTGCTGACTCCTGGTACAATGAAATTAAAAATTATGACTTCTCCTCTCCTGGATTTCAGAAGAATTGTGGTAAGTTTTGTTTCTTTCCATTGCACACAATGATTGCATTGAGTTATGTAAAATATGCACCACCATTTGTCCCAAATAGTCTGTGTAAGTATCTGAACTTCACACAAGTCTCTTCTTATTCCATCTGCTTTATCTCAGCAATTCAGCATATCTTTTTAATCCCTTTTCTCTTGGACACATCTAGTTACCTTTAAAAACATCTAAGTTGTTTAGCCCAATTCCTTCCTTCAGTAGCAAAATTCTACATTCTCACTACTCACTGAGTAAAGGCTTTATTTTAACATCCTTGGATTCATTAGTTACTACTATTCATGGTCCACACTTTTGAACACTCCTACATGTGGAATTCTCTCCACATCTATGTTGTCCAATTCGTTCATAATGTCAAAGACATTCTGGTAATCTCTAGGTTTTCCTATTGTGGATTGATTGGTGTTATTACCTTCAATGTTTTCTGATAGCCATAGCAACGCAGTAAGTACCATTCTCTCCAGTGACAAACATTGAAATGCATTTGATAAAGCCAATGTTCCATCCATTGACTCCATCTACACCTCTCACTGCCTCAGGAAGGCAGCCGACATCATCAAAGACCCCTCCCACCCTGTTTATAATCTCTTGCAACCTCTTCTGTCTGCCAGAAGACACAAAAACCTAAACATACATAACAACAGATTCAAGAACAGCTTCTTCCCCACTGTTATTAGACTTCTGAATGGACCTCTCAAATTTTAAATTTAAATATCGATGTTTGTGCACCTTCTCTGCAGCTGTAACATTGTATTCCTCGTTCTGTTCTATTACCCTAATGCACTTTGTATGGTATGATCTGCCTGTGCTGCACGTAAAACAAAATTTTTCACTGTTCCTAGGTACATGTGACAATAATAAATCAAATCAAATCAAAAAAGCATAGAGCAATTCCCTTTGTCTTTGCATTATCATGTTTCGTTGTTATATGACCAAAGAATGTTGAACTTTGCATCCACTCTGAGAGGTGAGTGCCTGCCTCAGTAATGGTCAAGGACCAGGAAGAGCAGCAGTCTTCCCCATTCCTCCCAATCACGGCACATCCCAGGCCTTCTGTTGAGCTCCCAATGTGAGTTCTCTCAGTCACCTGCCAGCTGGGCAATCCAATTGGCTGCCTGATGAGATGGCAACTGCAAGGTGTAAGTGACCAGAATGGCAGTGTCTCCGTGTCTCTGGCTTTGTTTCTGTAGCTGTTGCGAGGCTCAAGCACATAATTCCCAAACGCCGCACAGTAGCAATGACATGTTATTGGTGGCACTAGGAATGAGATATTAAACTGTATGCCAGCTGCCTGTTGCAATGACTGAAGTATTTGAAGAAGAGTTGATGAGTTTCCAAATAGACTGGGTCAGCGCTCGCACCCCTCAAGCAAGAGACCAGAACCAAAGAAGCTCATCATTGTGTGTAAAATATGTCACAACAGGTACCACACTTCATCGCAATTCATTATTGGGAACACCAAGAGATCATCAAAAACGGGCTGAGCATCTCTGCTGGTGTAAATGTCTCTACATGATATTAGATTTGCAAAATTGTAGGAGCAATGCCAGATCTGGAGCAGTATGGAGATCTCAGAGGGTTGTGGAACTGGAGAATATGAATGAGAAAGGAAAGTGCAGGTATCTGAAGAGATTAAAACAAGGATGAGAATTTCAAAATCGAGGTTTTGCCCAACTAGGAGCCAATGCAGCTCAGTGAACACAGGGGTGAGCAGGACTCCATTGTGAATGAGAACGTGAGCAGCAGAAATTTGAATGGGCTGAAGTTTACATTGAATGGGAAGTGGGAGTCTGTCTAGGAGAGCATTGAATTAGGTCGTAGAAGATGTGGATTGCAGCTGACCTGTGCTCTTTATCAATCGCCTGACTGCTGTTCCTCTGCAGGCCATTTTACACAGTTGGTTTGGAGAGAGTCCAAGGAGATGGGGGCTGGCCTGGCATCAGATGGCAAAGGTCTCACTATTGTGGTAGCCCAGTTTGACCCCGCCGGTAACATCACCAACCCTGGCTACTTTGCTAAGAATGTCCTGCCAGTTGGAAGTAAAGTGAAGGAGGTCGAGTGCAGTTCGGTGCAAGGAGACAGTGGTAAGGCACCAGAAACAGGCAACGTGGCACCACTGCCAGGTATGTGTTTTGTTCTCTAAAAAATACATGTCATGTCCGGAAGCTGAAAACATAGTCATTTGTAGGTAGTGAGAACTTGAATATTGTGAGAAAAAAGAAGCTTTTCATCTTACATTCATCAGGACAATTTACAAGAATACCACTTAAAGAAAAATCAACATTTACACTGTATGATAGGAGAGTGCTAATGCATCGGCCTGTGGACTCAGATTAGTAGAGGTATTGCCGAGGAGAATGTATTCATTAATGCTGATTGATAGTTAATGCTAGGCATTGTTTAAATTTTAAACCAGGAAGGTTGATTCTGATCACCCAGGACATTGACCTGAGAACTGAACCAGCAAATGTGTGTCACATGTTTTGTTGACTTGAAACAGTCTCAGTGCATGCATACATTCTTTCTATTTGTATATAAAAGAGCCCTGTGTAATAATATATGTTACTTCCAGTACACACAAGTATATCAGACTGCAAGCCTGACTGACAATCAGCATAATTCTTTCACACACACACAGGATTATGCAGCACCAGCTATCCAATTGCAGAATCACATTTAGTGTTAGATACCGTGGTGTGATTTTGCAGTTTTGGTCTGGTTGTATACAGTCAGTACCTAGCTTGTTACGAATAGCCAAAGGGATATGCTGTTTGATATAATCTTTGGGACATACGGCCTACTTAGCGCACAAACACTGAAATTTATATATCACGTTACTCATTTATATGATAGGCAGAATGTATTTCACACTTGAAGGCATCATCCTGTTAGTGCTGAAGACCTCTGCACAGTAGCAACATGAAATAACTAGCTTACCTGTTGCTCAAACACTAGAGATATCACCCCAGGGTAATATGAGGTGGACTGACACTTTTCAGAACCACATTCAAGCCCTTTATCAGTTTACTGATTCACAGAAAGAAATGATCTGATCCAAGTGGCCATTATCTTGCAGGATGGCTTTAATGCACCATATTTCAACAATTCTCCTTTAAATTTTTTTTTTATTGTGAGTTGTCCCGATGAGCGCAAGATGAAAAGCTTCAACAAAATGTATCTTTTCTCAGCAAAACTGAAAATGGTTGTTAATATGGTAGAGGAGCCTAAATCTGCAAACCCAAGTACAAACTCAGATAACAAGGTGTAGAGCTGGATGAACACAGCAGGCCAAAGCAGCATCAGAGGAGCAGGAAGGCTGACGTTTCGGGCCTAGACCCTTCTTCAGAAAAAAAAACTCAGATAGCTCCTAAGTTTCCTGAACACAATCCATTTTACGCTGCCTTTTGTAACTGTCCACAGAACTTTATCAACACAGACATTGCCAACACTGAACTGACAGAAATAGATAGAAACAATAGACGTAACATTAAAGTGTGTGGGGGGTGTGGAAGGGGGGGGGTGCAACAAGGGCTTAAGAGGAGTGTAGGGAAAATGCGGCAGGTTCAGAAACACGTTGTTGGTTCAAATGACAGGCCCTCGCTGAAACAATGAGACAGGAGGGTCCTGTTTAACACCCTGACCAGCGAACTGGAGCACTAATTTGCAACAGCAAGTTGAAGCCAGGAGCTTGAGGAAGACTGCTGACAGTTAGCTCGGGGAGCTCCTTCCCACAATTGTGGGAGTTTGGGGGGTGGGGGGTGGGGAAGGGGGGTGTGCACGCGACTGATGTGTTCAAAATCTGGGTGATAAGGGAGGCCCAAGACGTTGTTGTGCATGCTAAGGAATTCTGAGGAAGCGATGACTCGATGGGCCGTGTGGCAGACTTTCACAATGTGGCAATTCTATGATGGTTCTATTTCACTAAAATTGGTCGAGCGGTAAACAGTGAGGAGCCTTAGATTACAGGAGGATACAGACCAGCCAGTCAGGTGAGCTGATCAATGGCAAACGGAACGCAATCCAGATAAGTGTGAGGTGATGCATTTGGACAGTACAAACAAGGCAAGGGAGTACATGATGAACGGCAGGACCCTGGGAAGCACTAAGGATCAGAGGAACCTTGGTATGCATATATATCGGTCCCTTAAGGTAACAGGGCAGGTAGAGAAAGTGGATAAAAGGACATATGGTACACTTGCCATTATTAATAGAGTTTAAGAGGGTTTTCCTGGAACTGTATAAAACATTGGTTAGGCCACAGCTAGAGTATTGTGTGAATCCTGGAATCCACATTATAGAGGGAATGTGACAGCACTGGAGGGGGTGCAGAGGGAGATTTACCAGGATGTTGCCTGGGCTGGAGCATTTCAGTCATGAAGAGAAACTGGACAGATCGGGATTGTTTTCCTTGAAACTGAAGGGCAACATGATTGAGATGTATAAAATTATGAGGGACAAAGAGAGGGTAAACAGGAAGGAACTTTTCCCCTTAACAGGGGGACTACTGACCAGGTTAGATTTAAGGTGATGGGCAGGAGGTTTAGAGAGGCTATGGGGAAACAATTTTTCAGCCAGAGGGTGGTGGGAATCTGGAACTGTGCGGGTGGTAGAGGCAGAAACTGTCACAATACTGAAAACATATTTAAATGTGCAGTTGCGATGCCAAGGCATACAAGGCTATGGGCCAATGCTGGAAAATGGGATTAGAATAGTTAGGTGCTTGTTTACTGGCACAGGCTCAATAGGCTGAATGGCCTGTTTCTGTATGGTTAGAGTCATGGAGATTCAATCATCCTGGGCTTCTTGACCTCACCTTGACCCACAACAAAACGTGGACAATGTATTTCTCACTTGCTTCAACTATACCACAATCTGATAAAATTTCTGAGAGGGTCACAGAGGAGAACGCAATACCACCATTCTCTAAAACTGCTCTCACACACGTTTTGGTGATGGTCTATACAATTTAGGAGTCTGAGTTCCTATGATAAGATGCTTTACAGGCATGTTGTAGTTTGGAGCTAAGCTGAGACATTTTACTTCTTAACCTTTACCAAGTGAAAGCTAATTTTGTGTTTTTTTTAACCCTTGCCTTGTTTTGTATGCTATACTACTTCACTATATGATGCAAGACCATCAGACATAATAGCAGAAGTAGACCCTTCAGTCTATGAAGTCTGCTCCGCCACTCAATGGTAGATCAGATAACCTTAACTCTAAGTTAATGATTTTACCCCACAACCCTTGTTTCCCTGACTAGTTGGAAACCTGTCTATGTTAGCCTTGAAAATACTTAATGATCCAGCCCTCTGTGGTGAAGAGTTTCACAAATTCACTACCCTCTGAGAGAAAAAAATTCCTCCTTATCTCCACCGTAAGTGTGCAACACCTTACTCTGAGATTATTCTGTCTGGGCATGCATTCTTCTGAAACGAGAGACAAGCTCACCACATTTCCCCTATTAAGTCCCCTGATCTGATGCATTTCAAATTGACTGAGCAACTAGTCAGAAACATCCTACGGATTGTAGTCATTACAGACTCATAGTGAGTGACTCACTCTTTCCATTTGATGGTGAAGCCTATGGATCTTTGATACTTCTGAGGGAACTTCCCTCCACAGTGAATAAGGTAAGATTGTGAACCTCGCTATCACAAGTAGTGAATGATTTGCAAAGCAAAGGTGGCTTTAAGGGGAAACCAGAGGAAGTGAGGCAGAAGCATATGAGATTATAAAGATAGGATTGGATGAAACAAGTTGGGAGGACACCCCTGTACAGCATTAATGTTGAATGGATGTGTTTTGTTAAATGGTTGTTTCTGTGCTGTAAATGCTGGGTGTATGTGTAAAAGCCAAATGTAAGTTTCAGTAGCATTCTTAACGCCAATAATATAAACAATAAGTTACACTGCAACCTCAGTAATGCTCTGTGGAAAATATCAATCGACATCTGGCATTTTACAGACAAGGGAATAAAAGCATTTCACGCTGAACTACTTCAAGAACACAACAGACTACGGGCCCTACATCAGTCACAGCCTCTCCAGTTAAACTCTGACCTCTCCAACCAAGCACAGAAATGGGCAGATCATCTCATTGAGATCCATCAGCTCCAGCACAGTAACACCGAGTACGGAGAGAACCTCTGGTACAAATGGAGCATTGAGGCAAAGCCACCAACAGGTAATGAGCTCAGAATTCAGCATGAACGTCCACACGACTGAGGGTTCACAGTGACCTCCCATGGTCAGGAGGTGAGGGTTCACAGTGACCTCTCATGGTCAGGGAGGTGAGGGTTCAGAGTGACCTCCCGCAGTCAGGAAGGTGAGGGTTCAGAGTGACCTCCCGCGGTCAGGGAGGTGAGGGTTCAGAGTGACCTCCCATGGTCAGGGAGGTGAGGGTTCAGAGTGACCTCCCGTGGTCAGGGAGGTGAGGGTTCAGATGGACCTCCCATGGTCAGTGAGGTGAGAGTTCACAGTGACCTCCTGTGGTCAAGGAGGTGAGGGTTCAGA